ACCTTTCCTCGGCTTTTCATAGTGCAGCGTGCGTTTGAGCATAATGCAATGACGTCATCAACTGCATGCACCCGCGCCGCTGTGCTAACAAAGCCTCCCGCGGCTTGCAATAATAATAGGAAAGATCCTTTTTTTTTTGTTAAAATTATTCCATCCCTGGCTGCTTGCTGCTTGGGCCGCGGTCGGGAATGTGTTTACGAGCCCTATGTCGAAAATGCAACGTCGCGCCTCAGCTTTTCTCAAGAAAACTTTAAAGTGCACGGCGGGAGAAGAGCAGTTTGAAGTAAAATATAAAATATTTATTATTAAAAATAACTTCATTTGATCATTGAAGCAATGAAAGTTTGAACTAAGCAAAAATAAAATACGATTTTGCGCGTGTATGCTAATACTAAATAGATTGCATTTAAACATTTCGCTTATAGAAAGTAATTTTACAAAAATAATTATTACAAAATTTAATTAATTATTTTATATTTATCAGTTCTATTACCAGTGATAACTTTTTATAATCTCGGAAAAAATCTAACCATTTATTTTTCAGGATAAATTTTTCAAATTCCGTTAATTCATACCTGATAAAGAAATAATTAATTCATTCATTTTTAAGTTTTGAGAAAAAATTAAATAGAGGCATTTGCCTTAAAGCTGGCTTTAATTGTCATATTACCTTTCTTTTTTAATTTTAGAAAATACATTGGATTTTTTAAAAATCACCTAAATCGGACTGATAGAACCAGAGATACACATTTTTGCATTCACCGAAAAATAAAATCTCTTTTAGCGCCGACACACACTTGCAGCAAGTGGACCTCCGCTTTCAAGCGTTCCTTACTTTGGCGGCGAAACTTCAGTTTTTGCTAATTATCTCGAGAACGGTTTGATATAATTATGTCAAATTTTCACAAAAGATGCAGTTTTGATCCCTTCAAATAAATATTATGAAATTGATTTTTTAAATTATTAACAACTTGCTTCATTTCTCAATTTTGCACTTAAATTGCAAAAATGTATTCAAGAAAAAAGTCCCAACTAAGTAATAATTTTTCTGTGAGTCTCGTTAACATATCTAATGAAAGTTATATACTTGAAAGATTCATTCCTCTATCAGGTTAACTACAATAAAATTAGGAATGGCAAAAAACGTGTCTATCACACAAAACTAATGGTTGCTAATACTTTGCACGTAATCAACAGAAAAATATGGTTCTACCACTCATCAGTCCAAAATTATTAGATGCAATGCAAGCAAAAGTTTTTATTCTAATATGTGCTAAGGGTTGACCCCTGCACAAGTGACCTTAAACCCTTCAATTAATAAATTTTTATTTTGACAACTACCAAAAGATGCAGTTTTTTATTCTGATTCTTAATATGATATTTTAAAATTTATTAGAGTTCCCAGATTTGCATAATTAATTAAAGAAAATTTGGGTTGTAAGAAAAGGGAGGTTAGGCAGCGCAGTGATAAACTTGTGTTTAGGGCTGCAGCGAGCATCTCTTATTTCTTTATATTTTGGACGACCCGATCCGCTGTGCCTATTGTTAAGTGTTTTGCTGCATACTTCCTTATGCAGTTCAGGTGGTTCAGGTAATGCACGGCACACACAATAGTCCCCAGGTTGCCACATTTCATCCCCTTTGCGAGAATGCGAGTTTCTCTTCAGTCGCGCTCGGCGGTTGGCCGGTATGGTTTGTTAAAAAAGAGATGCTGCCGAAAAAATCTTCAAAATTCGCTATTCGCCCGCTTTGTGCACAGCTGAAGAAAACGCCGATTGCCTGTTAAATATTAAGGTGAGTTTTCTTTTGTTATTTGAAGTTTGAATCGAGAAATTCAGAAGAAAATAATTTAAAAAAAATGCAATTAAAAAAAGATCACTGCGGCTAATACAACGCGTTTAATTTGTTTTCAGATGAGCAGCAGCCTCCTTAGTACGGCGCCCAGGTACCATCCCTTGTAGGCTCTAGCTTCAAAAGTGCGGGGAACAAATATCTAGCAGGTATGTGATTAAAAAACGATTTTAAAATGACTCAAATTAATGTTTGCGTCTCTTTTATGATTTCAGTTGCTGCAAGTGCAAATGATGCGCCCGGCCGCTCGGCATAGAAACAGACGCGCGACAATTTGGTTCTCTCTTGGGAAAAATGATTTTACGGCAAGATGACGAGTGAGTTTCATTTGAAATTATTGTTATTTTTTTTCTATTTTTTGTCAATAAATAGTCACCAAAAACGAATTTCTAAATGTTTCATTCCCCGTGACGTCATGAAATAAATGACGTCACTGTTCACCTGACAGGCTTCGGAAAGCGCTCTGAAAGGTGTCGCTACAAAAGAATAAAGCGTCGCTATGAAAGCTTACGGAAGGGCTTGGTACAGCGATCGGAAAGGTTTCGTAAAGGCTTCCCTCAAAACCTTTCCGAAGCCATTAATTTTTCAAAATAATGGCATCTGAAAGGTTTGCGAATGGCTTCAGCTTCCAATTCAACTACATGAAGGGATAAAGGTTTCTTAAAAGCTATTGAAAGGTTTCGGAAAGGCTATTTAATGGCACACGATTTTTACTTGAGGAATAATAAAAAACAGGTAAAAATCGCTTCTCTGCATTAGGATTTAATTTTCAAACTGCGATGACTCAGTTCAGTTACTGTGAGAGACACGACAATTCTTGAACAGACATAACGTGATCCAAATCACTTTTTCTATTGAACCATGTATTGGTCACTTCAGCTTAATGACCCCCATGACTTTTGACCTTGAAAAAATATTTTAACAAAAAATTTCATTCTGAAATATTTTCCTATTACTCTTCTATGCGTTTTTGTGCAAAAATTTTGGTTCACCCCATTTGAAGGTCAACGGTCACGGGGGTCAATAAACTGAAGTGACCAGTCCTGTATGACCAATACATACTTTGATAGAAAAAGTAATTTTGGACACTTTTTGAGATTAAACCTTTTGTCGTATCTCTCACAGAACCCAAGAAATCGCTGTTTGAAAACTTAATTTCTGTTGCTCATGTTCTATTTTTTACTCTTTCAAAAGTTTTCAAATCAATTTTAGAGTTAATTTGAGGTTTTGTAATTAAAATCATCATTTATCACCTTTCCTCATTTGGTCAGCTTCCCACTCGGCAGTTTTCCTACATTCGAGCTAAATCGAATGAATTTTAATTTTGCAAACGATCAACAATTCAAACTTTTCGTGTTCGGATCCGTGTCCATTAAAATTAGACAAACATGTGCGGGAAACGCGCTTGTCCCGTTTGTTTGCTGGGCTTTTGGTTTGATCAGCGAATAAATGTGCACGCGTGGGCAATTTTTAAATAAATTGGCGTGCGCGCATAATTAATTGAAAAGCATCACGATCAGTCAATCAGAGCAGGCGATGGCGTGAAATTAAGTTATTCGTCGATTTATTTCGGTTCGTGCGTTTCAGCACGTCCAATGTATAATTACCGCACAGGCCACATGCAAATGCCTCGCGTGCAGATGCAAAAGCGAGACCATCAATCTTCGCCCTTGTCCTTTCTATTCCGTCACAGTTCGAATTTGAAACTTCATTTTTACTCCCAGTTAAAAATTAATTACGTTTTTTCCTACTCGGGTGAGAGACGTGGACGCAATTGAGTCAAATACGGTATGCAAATTGCTCAATTAAGCGCCTCTAGGTGTGTGACGTGAATACTAATTTTCGTGATTGAAAAGACACACACGTGCCATTCAAAGAGGTCAAACGTTGGCTCAGACCAAGCCTCGGATTGGTTTCAATTAAGGCCAGTTGAGTAGATTCGAATTAACTCAGGGCAGCAAAATCTTTACAAAAACTGATACTTTGCGGCATTAGAATTATTTTGATTACCAGAAAATTTGGAGGGAAATTTTTGAGAAAAGTTCAATTGAAATTTTAAATTTTTAGTGTGTGAGAAAATTAAGCTAATTTTAATTTTATTTTTTAGGACTTAAATTTAATTTATTTCTGCTAAAAAGTATCTTGGTTGTGGTTCCTAACAAACTTGCATCTGATGTACAAATTTACAATTTTTTTTTAATTAGTAGGATTAATTTTTTCCACAATTCGTCAGGATTGAAGAGTTTGAAAAAATATTCTGGTAGAATTTTTTTAATCGACTTAAAAATTTTCTTTATTACTATTTTTTCGGCAAAATAATTTTCTCCTCTTTTTGAACCTCTGAAGATGTGGTTATTTGTGTTTCGGTAATAAATCCATCGTTTGGACGGATTCCGTGTTTTGTTGAAGCATCTCTGGCGACGAACGCGCGCCGCAAATTGCAATCTGGAAATTGCGCGCTGAGAAATTGCACGTTGTAAATCAATGCGCGTGGAATTCGAGCGAAAAACCGGGTCAACGCGGCCGTAAATTAACCCCCCACCCCTTGCAACGCAATAAAAATAATGTGCAACGTTTAAATTCACCCCCCCCCCCCCCGTTTCCTGCACTTGACGTTGGAATGCTGCAATTGCAAATCGCATGTTTCTTTACCGCTTCATCCAGCCGAATGGTTTCTTTCGCGTGCAGAAATCTCAAGTGCCGAGCACGAAACGTTTCAAGTCGATGTATCACTTTGTTGAGTTAACAAAAGACTTTGGCAAAAAAAAAAAAAAAAACGGCCCGATTTCGACTAAAATTAATTTCTAAGGTTATTTTTCTCCTCATAAGATTTCAATAGGAATTTAAGTCATTGGGAGAATTGAATTTTCGAAGTTTAAAATTTTTCCTATAGGAATTTTCTGCAATAATTTTTAACTCGAAATTGGCGCGATCGAAATCGATAAAAATTTCACACAACCTCGTTCAAATCACCCAAAATACAATTGAAAAATAAAAACAATAGGTCAGACGACATAAAAAATTTACATTGGTAGCGTTGAAACGGATTTTTTTAAACTTTTTTTCTATTCAACGATTGAAAAGAGATCGAAGGGCTGATTAAAACGTCTGGTCGCGGAATTGCGTAGGAAAAATGAAGATTGACTTACCTATTCTGGCGGTGGTCGACTTAATGAGGAGGGGCAGCAGCAGAATCAACGTCTTCAGCATGGCGCTGCAACAGACAAAACCGGTCATCATCCCGAGCGCTTCAATTTGGCCTGGGCTGAAGATGCGACCACATGTCCTGCGGCGCCACGTCTAACGACCCCTCACGAATACAAATCAGACCTCACCCCTCACACACGTCCGCCTGCTAAGCAGCGCAATTTTCCAACGGAAAATTTCTGCCACTTTTCCTCACGAGTAGCAACATTTTTTCATGCTGGGAATAAATTCTTCCTCCATTTGGCCGAATTCTGGTTTGACAGAAATTTTATCTTGTTTTTTTAAATTTTTATAAATAAAATTGATGAAAATACATCTTCGAATAATTTGCAAAAATAATCAGAAATGGTTAAATTTTCAATTTTTGACAACAGTTTATAAAAAAAACCTTATATTTGTTTACCTTTAGAGGGGATATTTGATTTCAGCTTAGAGAACGAGTAAATGATAAAAGATTAAGTTTGATGATAATGCAAAATAATTCTATTTCAATAAATTTCAAGCCAAAGCCCAGGTCTCTTGGCAAAATGGGCTATTTTGAGAATATATGCAACTGATGAGGGTAAATTTATTTATTTTGTGATGATTAATTTCAATTAAGTTTTCAAAAACTAATCTCACAGATTCTCTAATTAATTTTCAAATAATCGACAAAATTGTAAAAATTCAAGTTCTTTTAAAATTTGAAATTTTTTTATAAAAAGTCTAAAAATATGACATTCTGAATTGAATATTTTGTTCCCACACGTTAAGACAATCTTAGGAAAAAAAATTCAGCCCAATCGAAGGTGGCAAATTTTTGTTAGAATTACTTTTGTACCTTTGACATGTGGAAAATGACCTCGACCTTGGAACTATTTGACCTCTCAGGATTGAGGTAACAAGAAAATTTTTGGTTTTCTGTATATCAAAATTAACCAGAGATATTAAATTTTTAAGTAATTAACTTGTAATTTTTCTTTCAAATAAATATACTTTATTAAAAAAAAAAAAAGTAGAAACAAGATTTGTATATTTCCAAACGATTTTTTTTTTCAAATTTATTCAATTATTTGTAATTTCCACCTGATATTTAGTACAGAAATCCAGGGTCCCTTGCCAACCAAACTGTGCTTTGCCTTGAAAGCAGGTTTCTGTAAATAATTTCATGCTGAAAACTTCTGTTCTGAAGAAAAATCACATTTTTAATTGTTTTTGGTGAAAATTTCAATTCTCACGCGTTTGAATTAATTGTTGAAAGATTCGACTGCGGCTTTTGTTTGCAATTGAGAGCGCCACGTGGTTGTTCTGGTGGATGCGTTTTCCGCCAAGCCGCACCCCCGCCCACCGCGACTCGATCAACCCCCGGAATTCATTCGAGATTGACGCGCGTGACGTCACGATTTGGGGCTTAGTCCGCGCGCTCAGAGGTCATTTCTGTGAAACAGATGCGATGACAAATGGCGCACGTGCCCCTGCCGTAGCGATCGAGCTGCGCCAAGAATAAATAAATAACAACAACCTGTAACTCGTGGGACTTGCCGAGCGCGTCTTGCTTGACACATTCAATTCTGCCACTTTTGTCTCCGGGATTTGCCGCCGCCGCCGCCGCCGCAAGCCTGTGACGCGCAACAAATGAAATTCGAAGCGTGACTCGCGTCCAAAACGACGCTCACGACTAATCGAGTTTCATTTCGGCCACTTTCCATCGATCCGCGGCACCAAAAAGTCGATGCGAGACCAACAGGAATGACGTGTTGACACTTTTAAAACGTTTTTTCCACTGCATTAGTCCCTGCGCAGAGATTATAAATCATCACGATAAGTCTGCAATTGTTTTGATACACTACAAGTTTCTACTTCGTAATCTAAATAAGAGCCCGATTTTTTAATTCAATGACAGCCATTCCTGATTTTATCTTGGTAAATTTGGTTTCAACTTCAAAATGAAACCAAAAATTTTGCTACTTTTTTCAAGATTTCTTGTCGATTCTGCAGATTTTTAATTGAAAGCAAAATCCTCTACAAAAACTTATTTTTAACTGCAACTAAAATTCCATGTCTGCGTTTAAGTTAAGGAAAAGTCTCGCTACGAGTTTTGCACTTTTTCTCCCTGCATTCGTTGTTATGACATTTTCCTTCTCTCGTCTCACTCGTTTGGATCTTGACGCGGAGAAAGCGACGCGCATTTGTGTAAATTAATTCGCGAGCCGCACTCATTAGGGGACGCGTCGACATAAATCTCAAGGGCTGGGGCCGAAAACAAACAAACAAGTGTCGCAAGTGGGGGGGGGGGGGGGGAGGACGTGGTCTTTTCGCTCGATTGCCGCAAAACGCGCGGAGAAAAACAAAAGACGCGCACGTTTACATTTGCATAATTCAGCGCGGGCTCGGCGCTCTCCGGGGTTAATGATGGCGCCATTATGCGCGGATGATGCATGGCCGGTGGCGGCGGCGGCGGCGGCGGCGGCGCCCGCCGGGGACTTGGCCCCGTCGCACTAAATCAAACCTCAAACACGGCAAAAGCATTAGCCGCGGAGCAGCCGCTTTTTCAATTCGCGCCTCTGCACTTGAGCGACCAAATGCACAAAACCAAAAGGTCTCCTTCGATTATAAAAAGTGCGTTTACTTATCCTTAACGCGGGCATCGCCAGTTTTTATTCCTGAATGACGAAATAACGAATTCTTCAACTTGCACAAGTCGGGCGAATCACATAATACATTTTCCCTGCAAAAGTATTCAAATGTGTGGTTCTAGAAAAGTGAAGAAAAACTTATTTTAATTGTCATCATGTCTTTTTTTCAATCAGTTTCCATGAGCCAGAAAATAAATTTAAGTTTTAAAGTATGTGGAAAATCATTCTAACCATTTGTTTCCAATAATTTCTTGAATTTTGAATAAAATACAATAAAATTTAATAAATTTAATTGAAATCCATGTTAAGGAAGCCTCAGTTGTACTTTTTCAATCATATAAACAGACTATTTTCAATCCTTTGAATGCCATTTTAAACCATCATGACTTATTAAGATGTATGGTTCTCAAATTTTGAAAATTCTTCTTGGTTTTATGTATGGTAAATATTTTGGTTACCTCAAATTTTTGATCTATTTTATATTTTGAGCTTAATTTTGTCAGGATCAATATAAACCTAGAAACTTGGTGCCCACCTTGGTTCATTAGCTCCAAAACCTCCCACGGAGAAAAAAATCTTTACCAAAATCAATTTGACAGCACTTTTTGTAAATCCATTTTCATCTCCAACGGCCATATTGGAATTTGGCAATTATGAAATTTTTCATAATACGAAGTATGATGACAATTGTTCCAGAAATCAATTCAATCAAAGTGCTGAAATTGTCTTCATTTCCTCGAAAACTATTAACATTTTCAGGCTATCAAGATGATCCAGATCCAGATGGCATGAAAACTAAATATTAGTTTATGTAGAGAATTTTACTGCCCAATGATTCTATCATTTTGAGTGTGAGGAAGATGAGCAAAATGAGCTGCGTTGTGATCCTATTTACGTGTAATGAGAGCCCTTCGAATTGAGCCGGATAAATGGATTAACAATCGGACAAGAGAGTGGGTCGACCAAGGGCTGATTGCAGCCGAAATTTGTTGCTTTCCTTTTCGCTGCTCGAAGCTCGAATAACCCAATAAGCCATCGCAGCGATTCCCGAAATGGCTCTCGGCGCGAACTTTGTGCGAACGAAATAAAAGAGACGCGCAAAAGTTTTGGCCAAACACAATGGCAGTGGGCGTGGCCGCAAAATTGCGAATGGAAATTGGAAAACGCAGCGCGTCATATTGCAGCCGGCGAGACGTGCAATTTACGGCCTCGAAATCGAGCGAGCGCTGCCAAAAATGGAAAAAACAACTTTTTCTCCCGAGTTTCTCGTCTAATTGAAAAAGAGGACATTCTTCGCAAAGAATTTCCTTCTTTATCGCGCAGCCGTAAATATCAATTTGCTCCCCCGGTTTTATTTCATTACGTTTTATGGCTCCAATTTGGGCGCATGCGAGAGCTAAATACGGCGTAATTTACAACCGACAAAGAAAACAAAACAGCTTTTTCCACGATCGCGGCACGAGACAAAATTGAGTGGCAAATTATTCACTTTCCACGGAAAGCGTGCGGCCGGCGCTGGAAAACCAAAATGCTTGCGAGGCCAATTAAATCCATTACGTGCCAACAAAATAACCTTTTTGTCCGAAATATTGTTAAATTAACTCATAAAGAATTATTTTAAAATACTTGAAATTTTAATCGAATACAATGAAACCTACTAACTTTGTGTAAAACATGATGGAAAAAAGCTTTCATGTTTGTTAATTTTGAACTCATCCGAACAGTTCATTTTCAAATGTTATTTTAAAATCAATGATAATTCAAAATGGCTTGTTGAAAGAGTTTGAAAATTTTTGGCTATCTCGGAATTTATGTCAGGTTGCTTATCTTCAAGAGGCACAATTTTTTTTATTTTGAACCATCATGATATTTGCCGCGGCGGACGAGTCTCTTTTGATCTCGGCAGACATCTGCTAGTTTTAAACCCTTTCTTCTCTATTTTCCTTAATAAAATTTGTGTATTGACCGAGATGAATAAATAATAATTTGATTACAGATTTTAATTAATTACAAACGCTTCAAAATTTGACTTGAATTTCTCTGCCACTTGATACATGATACTCCATAGAATCCATGTATTGTTTAAAAACTTTCAATTAAATTTTTATCAAATATTTACGCCTCTATTTTCTGGTTGTGTGGCACATTTTGCTGCCCTGAGGTGGTTCCATCCTCTTTAATCGTTCGCCTCCGTTTGAGTCAATAAAAATAAAATAAAAATGGATCTTTTCTCTAATATATGAGGAAAATTTTGGTGGATTATTAAATTGGCGGCGTATTTAATAAACTTTGAATATTGGCCGAGCAGCTGCGTCGTCATCAATCAAGGGAGTCGGTCGAGGGCGATTTGTCAGCATCAGGGCAGACGAAAATGAGAGACGGAAATTCTTGCGCTCGCCGGCGAAAAAAACGCACAAATCCCTTCTGTATCATAAATTTTAATAATCGCGCAGAAAGTTGCGCGAGATGAAAATACACGAGCAGGGAAAGTCCATAACTCACGAGAGCTGCACTTGTCAAAGCGCCAAATTAATAAAAACACGCGCCTTTGTTTCGCCGGCGCCGCTGCGATTTCCAATTACGTGGCAAAGACGAAACTTTGCATGATTTGCGGCACCGACTTGGAAACCCAACTTCAAATTTTATTCTAATTTCATATGCACTGAAAAACGTAATCAAATTTGGGCTCTTTGTTAACTTTTCTTGCTTTCAGTGAAAGTTTATGTTAATTTAGATAGAAATACTAGGAAATGCAAACTTTGAACTGAACGGAAAAAATCAAATCCCAACGGAGGAAAGGGATAAAGATTATTGAAACGCTTGATAAATTTCTTAAATGAAGCGGGCATGCTTTATTTTCCATCAAAAGCAACTCGGAATATCCACTTTCAGCGTTTAATGGGTACAAAATAATTAAGAAAATGATTATTTATTTCTATTATTTGAAACTTTTTCCCTATCGCTTTTTATAAGGAAATAAGTAGATAAGGAAAGTTAAGATAATATATAGTGGAATTAATCACACATAAAAAAAGTTTGTGCGTTTTTGTCAAAAAACTTTTTAATCTTATGTTATAAGTTCCTAATCTTGTTTTCCTCACTAGGAGGAAATGTTTGTTAAGTGATTGAATTCTCTGAAGCGATTAGATTCCGACGTTTTCAGATTGTTTTAAGCATTTCAAGCACGACTGGGGAATTTTATTACGCGGCAAAGATACAAGACGGAAGTACATGGTGGCAAATCCTGATTTGAATTAGTTTGTTCGGAAATGTTAGTCAGGAGCGATTGATTGTTTTGTGGACGCAGCGAAATGCATTTTCTGGACAACTTTGATCTTATTCTGCTCCTCATTATTCTTCACGTTTTCTCCAATGTCCAAGGTAAAGTGAAATTGAATTCAATATTCAAAATCACTTAAAAGACAAGTAAAAAATAACTGTAATTTTGTGTTACATTCATTGTTGTTAAATACGAATTGTAAGAAAATCTTACATCCGCAAAAAGTTTTTTTTTACGAAATTTAGCGTTTTTAACGGATTATTTCAGTCCGCGGCCTCCAATAAAACAATTTTTTTCTTGCCCTAATAAGGTAAAACTTTTCCTGTTTAAATTATAAGTAGCGCATAAATGCTGAAAATTATTGAAAATTATAATGCGTCAATTGATAAATATATCATTTAATCTTGCAGGAACCAACTTGCATAATTTGACTTTGTGTCCGGTGGACGAAACCAAATGTCACGAGTGCACATCAAAATCAGATCCATTTAAATGCTACTGCACTTCGGACAGGAAGTACACCAATCTCACTTGTCACAGCGGAAAGTTGAATCTGTACGACGGCAGGAGTGAGAGAAAAAATAATAAATTTGAAAATTTATCTATTTCTGAGGGACATTTGCAGGTGGCGGATTGATTTGCCCAAAAGAGATATTACCAGAGTGCAAGGACACGTGCGGAAAAAATATAACTTTTGGCGACTGCGGCTGCCCAGATTGCGTCGCTGCGATCAGGAAGAAAACTTGCCAATCCTTTCTGCCAGGACATCTGGAACCAGCAACCCCTGGTCACAGGTATAATTTTAATTGAACTGGAAGATCAAAAATCACGCATTGGATTAATTTAGGGGGCCAAACGACTGCCCATCCGACCTGAGCAAATGCCACAATTGCACAAATCACCTTGACTGTTTCTGCCCTGCACTTAATAAAACCATCAAAATCGTCTGCAGCCGCTACGGCAACTTCCTCGACCTCTTCAACCCTCAAAGTGAGATTTTTTTTAATTCCTCGTTTTCTCCGTTGAAGTAAAAACTTGTATGTTTTGGCAGGTGGCCTCCCTCACTGTCCACCTGTGAGTCTTGCGTCCACAAACTGCTCCTCCTCGCCCAGTGATGGCAAACGAGCTTGGTGCAGAAGCCTTGCAATTGCACCTGAGACAACGACAACAACGACGACGACGTCCTCCACCCCCACCACCAAACCAATCTTTACAGAGGTTGAAACATCACCTTCGATCAAAAGCACCATTCAAGCCTCACCTCAGCCAACAACGACCGAACCCGTCAACCCTCGAGATTCGCCAATCAAGGGGGTGATGTTGGTGGCCACCCTGGTTCTGATGGGCGTGGCCCTGCTCGCACTCTGCGTCCTCATCGGCCTGCTTATGAAGGCCATCAGGGAGGCCAGGATGGTCAAGGTCGCAAGTGACGCTCAGCAGGGCGACAAGGCAGAAACCACCTGATGATAATTGAAGATGCTCAAAATTTGCTCCTTTCACAATATCGATGGAATTCAAAAATAATGTGTGATAAAAACAAGTTTTGTTTCCATGATACCCCGTTTTTTAAGAATGTTGCAACTTACGAACTTTAGCGAGACAATTATTGCTTGACGACGATTACTTAAAATAATACAGCATTTATCTTCAGCGTTTAATATGGAAAAAGTAGTGATGATTTTTTATTTCAATCTTTTTTTATAAGGAAATAAGGAAAGTTTGAATAATACGAGCAGTGTAATTTATCACTCACAAAATATGTGAGTTTTTGATCTAATGTTAAAAGTTTATAATCTTGTTTTCCTCAATAGGAGGAAAAGGCTATGTGTTTATACACCGTTAAAGTGATTAAATTATCTAAGGCGATTCTGACGTTTTCAGATTATTTTTAACTTTAGAAACACGACTCGGGAATTTTATTACGCGGCAAAGATACAAGACGGAAGTACATGGTGGTAAATCCTGATTTGAATTAGTTTGCTCGGAAATGCCAACTGGCCAGGAGCGATCGATTGTTTCGTGGACGCAGCGAAATGCTTTTTCTGGACAACTTTGATCTTTTGCTGTTGCTCATTCTGCACATTTTCTGCAACGTCCAAGGTTAAGTAACAATGAAATCAATACTAAAAATCAATTAGAATAGGGTAAAAAATAACTGTAATTGTGTGTTACATTCTTTGTTATTAAATACGAATTGTAAGACAATCTTACATCCGCAAAATGTTTTTCACGAAATTTAGCGTTTTTAACGGATTATTTCAGTCCGCGGCCTCCAATAAAACAATTTTTTTCTTGCCCTAATAAGGTAAAACTTTTCCTGTTTAATTAGCGCATAAATACTGAAAATTTCTTAAGAATTATTGAAAATTATAATGCGTCAATTGATAAATATATCATTTAATCTTGCAGGAACCAACTTGCATAATTTGACTTTGTGTCCGGTGGACGAAACCAAATGTCAAGAATGCAAATCAAACCCATTTAAATGCTACTGCAATTCGACTAAGAGGGACACCAATCTCACTTGTCACAACCGGAAGTTGATTCTGTACGACGGCAGGAGTGAGAGTAAAAATTATTATTTGAAAACTTATCTATTTCTGAGGGACATTTGAAGGTGGCGGATTGATTTGCCCAAGAGAGATATTACCAGAGTGCAAGGACACGTGCGGAAAAAATATAACTTTTGGTGACTGCGGCTGCCCAGATTGCGTCGCTGCGATCAGGAAGAAAACTTGCCAATCTTTTCTGGAAAGAGACCTGGAACCAGCAATTTCAGGTCACAGGTATAATTTGAATTGAACTTCTAATATGGACCAACAATCGCGCTATGGATTAATTTAGGGGGCCAAAAGACTGCCCATCCGACCTGAGCAAATGCCACAATTGCACAAAAGACCTTGACTACTGTTTCTGCCCTGCACTTAATAAAACCATCAAAATCGTCTGCAGCCCCTACGGCAACTTCCTCGACCTCTTCAACCCCCAAAGTGAGATTTTTCATTCCCCGTTTTCTCCGTTGAAGTAAAAACTTGTGTGCTTTGGCAGGTGGCCTCCCTCACTGTCCACCTGTGAGACTTGCGTCCACAAACTGCTCCTCCTCGCCACGCGACGGCAAACGAGCTTGGTGCCGAAGCCTTGGATTTGCACCTGAGACAACAACAACTACGGCGACGACGTCCTCCACCACCACCACCACCAAACAAATCTTTACAGAGGTAGAAACATCACCGACGACCAAAAGCACCATTCAAGCCTCACCTCAGCCAACAACGACCGAACCCGTCAACCCTCGAGATTCGCCAATCAAAGGGGTGATGTTGGTGGCCACCCTGGTTCTGATGGGCGTGGCCTTGCTCGCACTCTGCGTCCTCATCGGCCTGCTTATGAAGGCCATCAGGGAGGCCAGGATGGTCAAGGTCGCAAGTGACGCTCAGCAGGGCGACATTGCAGAATCCACCTTATGATATTTGAAGATGCTCAAAATTTGCTCCTTTCACAATATCGATGGAATTCAAAAATAATGTGAGATAAAAACAAGTTTTGTTTCCTTGATACCCCGTTTTTTAAGAATGTTGCAACTTACGAACTTTAGCGAGACAATTATTGCTTGACGACGATTACTTTAAAATAAGAAAGCATTTTTTTATAATTTTTAAACTTGCTTGTAAATAAACCCTATATATTTTAACCACGCAATAATTTCAGCCTCAATTTTCAAGTTTTCAAAGTACATATTTATTGTTTTAGAAATATCTTAGCAGAGCAATATCAACTGTTTGTGCTGTAAAATGGAAAATCTGAAGTTTGAAAAAAAAAACACCATGCAAAGAAATATTTATTCCCCATAGAGGAAAGATCGGTTATTTTTGGAGCCGTTTTTGAAGCGCGATGAATTATGGAACGGGCGACATTGTTTACTTTCAACCAGGAAATGCGGCGGATTGGAAAGTTAATCGAATTTCTTGCTCTCTCTCCGCGTTCATTTGGAATCGATGCAAAAAAAGAGCTTTTGAATGACGCGTAATTGCGCTTTGTTCGAGCTCTCCGAATCAATAAAATTGCACAGAATTCCTTCCTAAAAGCAAATGAATCAATTTAAAAAGGCAAAGGCCGCTTTTAGCGCACCGATTAATCACGCGTGGACGTTCGATAAATTAAATTTTCGCGGCCGAGCGGACGCACGGCCAGCTGCAAATTATAATTTATTTGCTTGCGGTGCGCCGAGCCGAGATAAATTCGCATCAGTCACAATTAATTGCGGCCGTTCCAGCAACAAACAAAGTACTTTTCAACCCCGACGTTGTTTGAATTCAAAAGTTCAAAGGGCCGCGTTTTTTTTCCATTTTGTGAGAGAAAACTCAAATTCATTTTCCATATCTAAAGGAAAATTGTGATTTATTTCAATGTCTGGTTCCGAATAAATAGTCAAAGCGGATAATTATTGATTATCAACAAATAAATAAAGTAAACAAAAAATTCAAACCGAATTGATTTATCAACATTGATTTCAATTTCATATTTTTAATTATATTCCAACTGATGACTTTTCCACACTTTATTAAACATTAAAAAATATTGCCAAAACAAGAAATTAAATTTTATTTCATGAAGTAGAGCGAAGTTATCTTTTATTTCCTTTTTGATTTATTCCATTTCTGTTTTTTATATGTTTTTTCGTGGAAATGTCGCAATTGAAAAGATTTCGTTGGCTAGAATTTGCAGAGAGATTTCGTTTCTCATTTCTCTCCTCTGCGTCTCTTAAGCTTTTTTAATTCTGGCGGATCTTCTCTCCTTTCGCGGCACGTGCGCATACTTTTGTAGACTTTCTTTTGTGTGTGCGACTCACGTAGAAGCTCTGCCGGATTTCGCATTTCCTTAATTTCGCGCCGGCAAATCGTAATTTAATCTGCAAAAATGCGCCCTCCCTTTTTGCACCACGTTTTTCTTTGCCTAACGAGGTTTCAATTGCAAGAACTTCTGCAAATGGATTTTCCCTTTTGAATTGAACGCGAGCGTCTCGTTAAAATCGTTGCATTGTGACAGGGGAGGGGGTAAGACGGTCAAAGGGTGCGCGTTGTTTTGATACATATATTGTTGCGAGCAAGAGCGACGCGATCCGTCAAAAGCGCCGCGGGCCACGAATTTCTCGCCGGCGATCGATGCGCGCCAAATCCAATGTTTATTCGCGACAGGCGAGCAAAAAGGGAAATTCGGAAACACGAATGACGAAAAATGTTTTTGAAATTGTTTCCAACCATAAATTGATTAAAATGAGAATTGTGCTGGAAGAAAAAGGCCTAAATAAAAACTATATAAATAGTTTTTTTTTATAAAAAAAATTTTTTTAACTTTTTCTTACATCGGTGTAGCTTTGTAATTTGTTCTGCTTGTGAAATTGGCAGAAAATTAAAAAAATGTAAATGCACCCAAATTATGCAAAGCAAAATTCATCATCTTCAGTAATGATAAGCATCAAAACCGCATTTTATTTTATTTAAATTCATCCAGATCAATCTCAACGAGGAACTTTTGACACTGTAAATAAAACTCTGATACTTTCCCATAAGATCATTGTAAATTTTTTAAGTTTACCGATTTATTGGTTTTTTTTTCCATATTGATTGCTTTGATTTAAACGCAATTTGGTGATATTTTTATCAATTTTAATCGGGCCAATTTTTAGAAAAAAAAAATATATTTTTAAAGTTCCCTAAAAAGTGTTAAATTTCAAAAATTCTGTTCTTCAAATGACTTTTATTTTTTATTTCTGCTATTGGAAAGTTGAAATCTACAAACCAATGCCAACAAAAATTTCATCAAAATTAATCAATTGATTTTCTCGCAAAATAAAAATTGTGCAAATGTAAAAAATACTGAACAAAAATTCGCCACTGAATTTTGCAAATTACGGTCGATGCAGGAAATGGCCGGTGTTTCCGGACCCAACTTTTTTTGGTGGGAAAAATTTAAAATTCAGGAAAAAACTCGATTTGCAGGAGAGATAAGCTTGAACGGCGCCGCATGTTTTGCGCGATAAATTATTGCGGCGCGCACTTCGGTCCCGCACTTCGTCGCCCGGCAATAAAAGGCTGGAATTCTCGGTGCCGACGCCGGTTGTAAAATTATAAATGCTCAAATTTTATTTCCTCTCTCTCCGTCCGTTCAAAATTTCTTCCTTGTCCGTAAAAGCGACCCGGTTTATTACAAAAGGTGCAGGCCAAATTTTACTCCTCGAGTAAAATAAAAAAATATGCTAAACTTTACGATTTTCAAAGAAAAATTCCTTATTCTTCAGCAGGGACAAAGAATGAATTTGTAAAAATTTCTTGATATCAATGATTTTCTTGCATGTCTGGTTTGTTGTGCGACTTGCTCAAGAATCTCTCAAGTCAAGATTAAATAAAAAGCACACGGCGGAATTTGTATGTAGAAAAGGCGCGTGTGCGGGAAGGGAAACGAGGTCGGCTGCTTTTTATTATTATTCGGCGGCGGCGGCGGAGAAAGAGAAGGGCGAGGACAATCGCATTATTCAAGGTCTGCCGAGTTGGTTGGCGGAAGAAAGGGAATAGAATCACGATCTGTCATCGTTTCCCGGCTAAGCCATTAGAATGCGTTGCTTGGGACAAAACGTGCCTCGTCGCAACTCCTTCTCTTTTTCCTCCCCCGAGGCCGAAAAAAGCGCGCGTTAATGAACGAAACTAATTTCGCCGTAAATCACATCCGCGGCAGGTAATTCGGCGGCCGAGGAAATAATTGAAATATCCTTCGTAATTGAAACGCCCCCTCCTGGCTTTTCCTTGCACTCGCGCGGCAGCCCCGAGAATAATTGGATTGTCAAACACAAATCCGCGCGCAGCCAAAGCTGCTCATCCTCAGCCTAATCTTTCCAATTTTCCACGCACAAAACAGGAACAATACTAATTCTTCAATCTCCTCAAATCTACAGAAAGAGTAAATGAAATTAAAAATTACTCTTCTTCCAAGGATCAAAAAAGCAAATTAATTGTAAATTATCCCAACCTGCGGATTTGTATTGCTTTTTAAATAGAAAAATCGCTTAATTTTCAGTACATCTTGCATCGGTATCAGAAGAAAACCCAATTCAAGTGATTCGTTGAAGAAAGAATATGAGAATTTCAGGTTTTACTGTCAGTTTGGTTAAAATATTAAGCTTCTGGTTATTGGTGGCGCTGCGATCGCTGAAAATTCAGCGATCGTTTCAAATATAAAGAAATAAAACTCACAAAAGAAGGTGTATTTATTATTTTTATGCATAATTTATAGATGCCATTTCAATTGGTGCATCAAACATTTTCAGAGAATTGAATTAACCAAAAAATTTTGTAAATCTAGATTAGATTATTCTTTTTTAACTTAAATTGATTAAAATATGAGAGAATTTGTTAAAAGATGAAATTAACATTGATCTTAGGTCAACTCGCGTTACCTTTCCAATCCTCCCTGCATCCCCCCTCTCTCTATGCCAACCTCCCCTTCCACTTCCCGCCACTTCCCTTCCCCCCCGCCACCCCTCCTTCAGTTGTCAAATCCAAAATCAAGTCTTTGTAAAAAAAAGGAGTCCACAATCTTGGCTTCCTTTTTCCCCTTCCATCCCCTCTTTCTTTCAACCTCCCCTCCTTTTGTTCTCGTCTGACTTTCATGAAACTCTGGGTTTCTGTGTCAAAGTTGGAACATTTTGTGAAAAATTTGTGCCACGTGTGTGTAATCTTTGTGTGCGGCTGCTGAGCTCATTGTCGGCGTCGTCGGCAGGAATTGTGCGCGGCGCAGCGTGAAATTTTATCCGCCACGGCATTGTCAGCAAAACGCAAAGTTGAATTAACGCCCGCTGTTTTCGCGCCTTCAGCAGCTCCGCAGAACAAACGCCGCCGAGCTTTATTTCCGCCCCTTGCGCGGCTGAAAGTCTCGGGTTATGCAACCCGCCGGACGGACGCGTCGTGCGGGTTGCAGCGAATGGAAGAAAGTTCATTTCGAATAAACCTTTTCAATATTTAAGTGGCAATAAAGCGGGATGCGATGATGGATGGGCCGCTTTTCCGACTCGCCCCATGAATATGCACGACCCCTGCATGTGTGCCCAAGACTTTAAAACTCGCAAGTCACCGCTGCTAATGGCCGTGCCCCTTCTAATGACGGCCTCAAGTGGTCCATTTTTAAATCAATTAAATATTCTTCCTCATTTCTTTCTCTTTTCTATCAAAAAAATTTAATAACACAAATTGCAAAAAGCTCGTTAGGCAAAATGAATCCAATTATAGAGGATTTATTATTATTTTTCCCTCTAAATAAATAAAAATACTTTGCATTTTGGGAGGAAAAAATTTATCCAACCAATTTGCTGAATTTACACATTGTCAACAAAATTAATGAATTAATGATTTTATTCGTTGTTTTGTGAAGAGGACAAAAACCTGTGCCAACAGAAAATCCTTCCAAAAAATAAATAAATAAACCTGTTTACATTTTCCAGATTTGTATATATTTGCATCGATTTATGACAAAACAGCACTTTTAGCTTTTTAATTCGGTGAAATTTTTTCACGTTTGCAAACCAAATTAATAGAAATGAGAGCGAAATAACTTTTCATAATCGCGATCCCTCTCCTTTTTTTATTTTTAATCGGTTCGGAATTCAATTACCGATTCGCTGAATGCAAATGTTGAATGCGATAATTTATTCGCCGCTTATCGACGAGCCGCTCCATGAACATAATGCACTCGCGACACTTTATCACTTTATTTCCATCGGTTTCGCCGAACCACATCGATCTCTGCGTTCTGCGGACTAAAAAGCCGCGCATTCGTGTGTTTAACAAAAGCAATTAGTTTTTTATTTCGGGAAATTCTTATCTCGTCGGTTTTTATGGACTCGGGGACGTAAAAAAGCAAGCGACGTAATTTATTCATTGTTGTTTTCTCGGAATGGAAAAAGGAAGAAAGAAATTCGTTTTGTGCGTCTGCAGAGACGAGAGAGAAATTGCATTTCCAGTCAATCGAGTCGCGGCTCGGCTGCGCGGGTGTGGCAGATTCATTTCACACGTGGCGTCACATGCGCCGGCCCGTGTCCGACCTCGATTCCACCCTCTCACAAGAAGAAGAACAACAACAAAACCGCATCATTACCTCATTTTTCTACCTCCGCTTGCAATTGCAAATCACATCAATATCATTTTTCTTCTTTTCTAGCATTTAAAATCAACACTATAGATCAAAAATGTGACTGGAATTTTATATTATTGCCAGAACTTTCCACTTATTTCAAATTAAAATTCTTTTAGAATATCATAATTGTAAATTCTTATTTGTATTCGTCCAGGAATCAAAAGCATTTTGCCTCCTGCAAAACTGGAAAAAAAATCATTCCATAATGATATTTTCTGAGATTTGCACACATTATTTCGCTTTATAGGTAAAAAGTGCCTTTCATATAAAGGTTGAATTATTTTTTGTATTTTTGTAGTAATTGTAATATTTCTTGCAGAAATATGATGGAGATCAACAGCAAGTTTTCTTTAATCAGTAAATTGTTGGCGGCAAAACTTACAATTTTTTTAACAAAGGTAAATTTTTTGTAATTTATATTCGTTTTTTAACTCTAGCAATTCTAGAAAACATTTTAGAGAAAATAATTCAAAAACAAAACTTGTGGTAATTTTAATTCTGCACGCTTTTTGTAACAAACATTTTATTCAAAATTCAAAGGGGCAAAATGTATAATAGCGGAAATGTTGAAAAATGACATTTTCTGCTCAATTTTAATCGTATAAGATTAAAATATCTTGATTTAAAAATAAAAAAATAAAAACTCTTTTTACCTGCATAGGAAAAAGTAAGAATAAACCGTTTCCCGATAAAATAATAAGAGTTGATGAAAGTATAAAAAAAAATTAATTCTGTTTTTCAATCGTGCTTATTTTGGAATTTATTCCGGATGTTAAAAAATAAACCTTAAAAACTAAATTGCGAGATATCCAAAATGAAGGCTCATTTCTTGGCCACTTATAATTGTTTCTGAGTATTTATTTTGAGACCACTTTTTACATGAGGCAATCAACACGAATAAATAAAAGCTTTTGTTGGAAATTCAATACCTTTGTTGTTTTCCTCAGCCTGTGAAAGAGGCGAACCGAATTGGAACAACTTAAAGTTCGTCTGGGGCGGATAATCCCTTGGAATCCGCCCCCATTGTTGATCCACTCGACGCGCCCACCCTATCTGGACAAACAATTCTTTCCTCGGTAACATTTATTTGCTAAAACATCCGTGTCGGAATTTTTGCTGAAACGAGTCGCTTGCAAATTCAGCCGAAAGACCGAAGGGACTTTGCGTGCGACCCTGCGTTTGTCAGCCCGGGGCGCGTTTCGCCCTCTCTCGAAATTGGCCCTTTCATCATCAAATGAACTCAAACAAGCCGGACCGCAGCGGTTGCAAATGTAAACCGGGGGTCGTTCGTTCTCTTTCTCAACGCGAATGAACAGAACAACTGACGACCTAATTTGCCGCAAAAGTTGCTGATCCGCGCGTTAAACGTGGAAATTAAGAAAAATTGGGCGCGCGTCTAATTAGGGTTGCTTTTTAAAACTCGAATTCCATTAGGGCGCGCGCACATTAAGAGGACGCCGCTGGCATCAAAAGTTGCCAACTAAAAATGGAAATAATGTAACCGGCGGAGAGGAAGAAAAAGTTGCAAAAGAAGACAGGATTGTGCCCTTTTGTTCTGCCGCCGATTTCTCCGCAAAAGAGAAATTCAAAGTCGCCCTAGGCGAGCGACAAAGTTTGTCTTCAAGATGGGCCATCTTTTAAAACCGATTCCAAACGACTTTCGTCTAATAAACGACACCACACACTTTATCCTTCATAAATTTCACCAACAAAATGAAATTGATCAAAATTTGATTTAAAAAGACAGAAATTTTGAATCAATAAATGCTTGAAGCGGGAAAATGTGATTCTCAATTTTTCATTATTATTATTATATTTTTTTATAAATTTTGGATCGCCAGATTCTAATTGAATTTCAGAATTCAAATGACTGAGACTCTGCGAGAATAGTTAAAAAGCAGTAATTTGACAAATCAAGTGATCTGATTGGTTCCATTGGTTCCCCCACCACTAAATTTAAATTGATGATACATATCAAGTGTGACACCTTGGAAAGGTCAGGTCACGAGGAATTGATTGTGGTGACCTAAACAACCCCCATCCTGACCCTCACATTGACTCCTGACTATAAAATTTAAACTTTCGGATTCGAAATTAATGAAAAATTCTTAAAAAGGAAAGTCCAAGGCCAGTTTATCAACTGGTGGTGTTTTCTGAGCATTTTTTGGGCCACTTGGCGAAAGACCATTAATTTGTGACTCTCTTTTATTTATCGTTTGCCGCGAGACAAATGCCGGCCGAGACGTCGAGTGAAATATGAGCGTGCAGGGCAGGAAGGAGGCAAACAAAGCTCTCTGTATATTGATCTAAATATGTACTGCTTTTTTCGGCCGCTGCTCCGGGGAGCTTTCAAATAAACGTCAAGCCGGCAATGTTGTGCCTCGTGGATCGATTCCGGGCTCTCGACCCACCGGTGGCTGCTTATCAGCTTTATTACACACGCCTGCCCGATCAAAGCGCGGCTCCTCTTAAATACACTCCCAATGAGCACGGATCACTTCACCGCGTCCAAATAAAAATGAATCAATCAAGCCAAAGCAAATATCAAACTCTGTTTCCTCTTAATCAACTTCTTTTTACACAGATTTATATCAAAACTTTCAAAATTGCCGTGAAATTTTTACCAATAATTTAACTAAAAAATCGGTAAACTTTGCATTTTTTTTATAATTTGAATGGCCTTTTGATAACTTTAATTACTGGTGTCTTTTTTTTAATGAAATATGAATAAATTTAGGATCAAGTTGAAAATTTAATAATTCTTACTGACAAATTTGGTCCATGTTGGGAATGGAAAAATTGAGACGAAACGATTGGAGCGGTCGTTTTAAAGTGGAAAGGCTCAAGGGGGGAGTTGGGGGTGTTGCTAATTAAGCGGCGCTCGGCCGTAAAAAGCAAATTGAATGGCCGGACCAAATTTTAACCCCTGCCCTGCACGTCAGCCAGCGACATAATTAAGCACGACGGCGGCCATTGCGATTTGCACGTGTGTGTGTTTTGTTTGCCGAGTTTTTGAGCCCGGATTGATAAATGCAACGCTTGATTAAGCCTTTCTTTGAAGTGTCGTCGGCGCCCATGTGTCGCGCGCACCCAAAGGGCTTTTATTCCGATTGCCCCGCGCGCCGTTTTATCACCCGCTCCGATCGGCCAGACCAACTTCACAATCCATCTCGTTCCGGAATTCGCGTCTCCATTTTGCTTTAGTACATTTCCAATTTCCTCCACATTCTATACATAAAAATTTACTCAAAACTGTAGAAAACACAAAAATAAAGTTAATTTTCATTCGGTTTTTTTATGGCTGAAACTTACAGCAAAGGATTTGAGGTATCAATTCTAAAAATCATAATTTACAAAAAAATTAATAGATTACAAGTTATGTGGTGACCTAAAAGGTCAAGGTTAAAGGGATGATTGTTAAAAAATAGCAATCTTTGATTTTGATTGGTCCGCCAATTTCCCCCACCACCAAATTCAAATTGATTTTAAATAACAGGTGTGGCACCTCGTAGGAAAGTTCATGTCAAGGGGAATTGATTGGTGACCAAAATTTCAAGGTCACCGTGGTATTCGTCTAAAAACAGTAATAATTTTAATCGAGACTTCTGATTGGTCTGATTGATTCCCCCACCACCAAATTCAAATTGGCTTTCTTACATCAATTGTGACACATCGTTGGAAAGGTCAGGTCATGCCGAATTGATTGGCGCCTTCTGCACTGAATCTGCTATTAACTGGTTTAGGAATTTCATAATTTGTTGTTTCTTCCTCTCATTTTGACAATATCTCTTGATTTAATGATTAAATTTCAGAACTCAGGTCGTAATTTTAATCTCATTTCAAGAGAACAAAACAAACAATCTACTTCACATACATTTTGTTTTAGGTGCGATTTGAGATTCGGATGCGAGAGAAAAGTGTCGGCGTTTTGGTTTGAGGAATGTCGAAGCGCGGTGTCGAATAACAAAGGCGGGCGTGATGAAGTTAGGGTAATTTATTAAAGGCTGCCAGCAGATTTGGCGCAGAGTAACTCGATCTGCTCTCACTTATGGTTAATTAAAACGCGAGCGAGCGAGCGAACAAGGAAGCAAGCGAGAGAGCGAGTTGAGATCAGAATGAGGCAGACAGGTTGAGTATCGATTGCCCCGACGAGCACAAAGGCCATTCATCCTTCTTTACCCGAAATCGGGAGGAGTAAAATTAGTAAACTCACCCGCCGGTTTTCAGAATGCTGAATTTCCTGCAATCAAACCAAATCGCTCATTAATTTTCACCACTTAATCAACAACTAGCAACAGAATTATGACCAAAGCTTTAATAAAACTAACAAAAATGTTTTATAATAAATTTCAACTGTTTATCTCTGGCTGAATTTGCTAAGCTTGGAAAAAAGCGGGTCAATTTTTTACTAACATTTTAATCCAGAAAGGGAAACTGCCTGGAACTTGAACTCAATGCGCACTTTCAGGGACTGGATTGATCAAAACAGCACATCAGACCTCAATTGATTGGTCTGAAATAGAACTTTCCTAACCAGTGATGCATTAATTTTTTTTATAGAGGTTCATTTGCTAGAGAAAAATGTAAAAAATATAGAGAAAAAAGCTAGTTCGCTGATTAGTTCTGAAATAAATGTTTTGCTTAATTCAATCCCTGGAAGTTTTTTACTAAACTTTAGTTTATCGAAGAAAATTATGGTTAATTAAGTAAATTCCTGAACAAACAGAAAAATTTGTGATGGCGCGAATGAATGAATAAGTTGAGGCTTGAAGAAACCACTCGAGCTGCAGAGTTAATTAGAAGGAAGAAAAGCGCACCTAAATTGCAAACGCACAATTGTCTCAATTGAATCCGCTTATCGGTTCAGCAGACAGACTTTTGCTGGCACGCGGCGATACCAGCACGGTAATTAATCGCGGCGAACAAAATCATGGCTTTGTTTTTAATCCGCTGAGCTGCAAAAATCGCAAATCCACTTTACAACATGTTCGAGAGGCACTCGAAAAATTCCCCAGCGAATTAAAACGCATCGCTGCTTTCAAAATGCCAATTTTTCATTCAACTCGCACCGAAACACTTTTTCCACTTATTAAATTTTATTCACAAAAGTGAATCCAGTTCAAATCAATCAGCGTCACAAATTTGGAGTTTGTTTCGGTAAAATATAATTTGTTGAACATTTTTTTTGAGGAGCGCAAATTTATACTCTTTCATCGGATGAATGTAATTTATGAGTATTAAAATTTGAGTTTGTTATTTGGAACAAAGTGACGAATGAGCAAAAAAAGGGAGAGACAGAATGTTGGTGCCGAGTTGGAAGCACATTGGAATTTGCAATTGAAAGCGCGACGCGAATCTGAAATTCAAATCGGCATGCAAATGAGCGCCGCGGAAAATCTATCGCCAAATATTTGGTTGCTCGCGCGCGTTTTCACCCTCGCACGCTTCTAATCCTTGCAGCAAACGCGCTTTATTCAATTAAGCGCGATGCTTTAAGTAGGCCTCTCAAGTTTCACAAGTTATTCCTCGCGCATATCACACCAAGATCCTTTTGTCACTTCAACTACCAGATCATTTTTGGGAAATTAAAAAAATTTTGTTCAGCTATATTATTAACTTTTATAAATATATAATGCAAAACTCTCACAAAACTTCTTAAAAAAATTAGAAATTATTGCTCTCCTTAAATTTACTTGAGTTTTTCCACAACACATATCTCACTTTGTAACGCAAAATTTAATTTTCACAATCAAAAGAAATGGAATTTTTAATTTTTCCAAATTGGTTTTACAAGAGACAAGTTTTGGTGTCTCAGCGATCGATGGATTTCGTGCCTGGCGGTTCCTTTGGTGTCGCCGCCGCCGAATTAATTAATCAAATTAGCAAATGCAGAGTCAGGCCAAGCTGCCGCGAGACACGCCTGATGATCACTTTGATTGTGTCGCCTGTCAATTCATTGTCTCTCCTCTCATTAATTAAATATTTCCACGACTCAACTAGCACAGCCCAAAATCGATAAAAAAAACTTCTTCAAAAGGCAAAATAGGGAAGAAAATTTGTTTCTTGAAAAAAATTCAAGGAAAAAAGCGAATGGAAAGTGCAAATTGAAAAACAAAGCTCCGGTGATGGGTTGTCGAGCGGGTTGCATACTCATTTGTCACTCGGCTTTGTCGCGCTGTCGCTGCGGATAAGCGTTAATCTGCCCTCGCTCGCACCCCTCTCATTATTTTCCTCTTTGATCTCGGCGTTGTTTAAAAAATACACACACACACACCACTTGTCCCTCGCAACCTCATTTTCGAATTCAAAGAACAATTTTGGTCCGATGAAGAAATATTCCAACGTTTGCATTTTCCGCGGCAAAAGAAGTGCTGACGATTTTTCGAGTGGATTCGGCGAAATGTGCTGAGAAGAAGGAAAGAAGAAGGTCGATCGCGAGAAGTGTTGCGTGATAATTCGAGCAGCTTGTGAGAAACTGGCCGGATTTACTCTCGCCCCAAGAAGGGGAAAAACACGCGAGGTATAATCAGGGATGAGTTTGAATTCAGAGTCTCGGCGGCGCGACAGGCTCGAGCGAAAACAGTTCCTTTCACGCCACGTCTCAGGCCAAAGGCGAATTGGCACCAAAATTCCCACCCACAGTCAAGGTCAGCCTGCCTTAAATTTTCCAAAAAGTAAAAAATATAAAAAAGTACTATATTGGCAAATGTACAGTAAAAGGCAAAATTTTATTTTTTTCTTCAAATTTTGAAAAAAAAAAACGATCACTCATAGATTTCACCAATTAATTTTGACACTTTTAATTCTTTTAGATGATTTTTCAAGGGGATTCTTGCCAAAAGTTGATTGATAGGATTAAAAAAATGACTAAAGTTACATTCAAATCTGAAATGAAAAAAAAAAAATTTAAATTCCGCCAAGTTCAATAAATTTCTTCTTTTCAAACAAATTATTTTCAAAAATTGAATTTATGAAAAATTTAATGAGAAAATTTAATTATTAATGAAAAATAGTAATAATAATAATAACGATTTATTTTAATTGAACTTTTGCCCCAAGCTCCAAATTTGTGAATTTTATTTAATCAAGCACGCAATTGATTTGGCGGGAAAATAAAGGGAACTGCTTTTAAGGGGCTTCTTATTTTTGTCCTCGTTCATAATAAAAATGAAAGAATTTCGCTCTTTAGATTCTTTATATTTTTTTATTTTTCCCTAAATCATTTCCCGAATCCAAGAAAGCCGTGCCTTTTTGGTTGAAGGTCGTCAGCCCCTTTATGCCGGCGTTTGTACAAAAGTAAATCAAAGCGGCCATGTGTGTGCGGCTCGAGAGTCTTTCGCCGATTTCCCGATATCTTTCTCTTTTTTTCCGCCGCTTTCGTTTGGCGAAAGGAGAGGATTTGCGTGATTGATTGGCCGCCCTCGAATTTCGCGCTCGGCTGCCCCTCCCATTCAAAGCGAAATCCTTCTCTCCGCACTTGTACACGCGGCAATTAGGCCGCGGCTTTATTTTTTCTGCCTTAATTCCGCCGTTCAATTTCAAAGGCAAATGAGAGAATTTTCAAGAGGGAGGAAGAAAAAAAACTGCGTAATCTGCAGCCTTTTGCGGCCCACGCGACCAGCACGATTAATAAATCTCACTTTTTGCGGCTCCGAAAAGAACGTTTTTTCCACCGCAGGACCACCATCTCTTTTTTACTGGAAACACAGAAATTTGTGTTTCTCTTTGCCAGTCTATTAACTTTGACCAAAACTCGAATCCGCTCTGAGGTAGGAAATTGATAATGATCTAAAAATCCGCGTTTTTCAAAGCTTTTGTAACTTTTTGTTTGATCTTTCCCAATCAAAGCTTGATTAAAGCATATTTATTTATTTTATGAAACAGGCTTTTAATTAATGATAACAACAATAATAACCAAAAAAGAAATACAAAAATAATAATGAGGTGGGGAGAAGTTTTGCGAATCGCACAATTTTCTTTTTAATGCGAGGAAATATAAGAAAAGTGCGTGTCTTTTGGTTTTGAGCGTTGAAGGGTCTTGGCCGGCGGGAGGTTCTTCACTTTATTAAGTCGTTAATTGCGTGGCCGGCGCAAGCAACTGTGGCGGGGGCGACGAGTGTGTTTGCAGAGAGACCGAGCTTGTTTCCGAGGTAATTAGGAGCGGCCGTAACGCAGACGAAGACGCACTTTTCCCTCTCGCACGCACGCACGCTCGCTCAAGGGACGAGTGTTGTCGTCAAAGTCTGGGCCTCGCACAGCCCCCCCGGGGCTCGCCTTACACGGGAATCTCATCCCGGGCCGAGAAGCCTCGCATTTAACTCCATCTTTTGTACACAAAACTCTCAATTGCTCCTGCAAGTTTGGGCTAAAAATGGCCGCAGCGATAAATTTGCACGCAAAGCCCTGCTCTTGCCCTACTAAATAATAATTGACGAGGGTCGAGCATAAATTAGCACCGAACTTACTTGTTTTGTTTCAAACTTTGAGAAATCGAATCGCGCAGGATTAATTCGATCTTTTATCGCCGCGATTAAAAAGTTTGGCGTGACGAAATTTTACGGCCTCTATATAAGATTTTACTTTTTACAGCCTCGCTCTCTCACGTTTACTGCGTCCGAATCGTAACTCATTCCATTACTTTAATGCGCGGCTTTGGAATTTCGGCGCTTTATGGCTTTGATGCACACGAGTTAAAAGCAACAGGGGTCCCGGAATTTCCATATCCAGACACGAATTCGAATATTTTTTGAACAAGGAATTTCCAAAATATCAACTAGTTTCTATTAAAGTTGTTGCTGAACCCATTTTCGTATTGTATGTGTCGGGTTGTTGATGGCCCAGTCAAGGTAATTGGAATTTTCACATTCAGCTAAAACAAATATTTAAATTTTAGACCTGTATTGTTAGCATTGAGAAAAATGCGAAGAAAATCACATTTTCGATCATTCTTCCTTTTCTAGTGCGTTCCCTATCCTATTGGATTAAAAAGGAACTGTGCAAAATTAAATTTCCTACAACCTTTTTTTGAAATATTAGCTTGTAAAACAATTGTCTTGAGCGGAGAATCCATTTTAGTAAAACTTAAAAACGAAATGTTTCTCTAGCGAAAGGAAATCTGAACGATTTCTCACCATTCCTATCTCTAGGCCATATTTTTCTCGTTCCAAAAACATCAAGAAAAGTGGCGACTAACAATAAGTTAATTAGAACCAAAGTTATGGCCGTTTTTAGTTGATTGAG